AGCAGAGTGCAGGGAGTCTGTCCAACTAACACTGTTGTTGATCAGTTGTGACATGGCCCTGAAAATAATTATTTCATGGTTTTCTGTTAAATCCAAAGTTCCTTTAGCTTTTTAGTGTGCTTTCATTTTCTTTTTCAGAGACCAGGCTGTTGTTCTAATTGCCAGCTCTATCATCACCTAAATTTGAAATATAATAGTGATGACTGAATGAATCTTTTCAAGGATAGAAAGACTAAAAAAAAGAAATCTTAAACAATTCTGCTTTTTGTCTTGACATTTCAACAGAATTTGTCTTTTATGCTTAGTCACGTGTCTTCCTAATATTTTTGAGGTTTTTTAAGTCAAACAGAACAAGATTTCATGTACCAGTTCTGAATTTAGAAATACACTCCTCTTAGAATAGTAAATAACTCTGGTTAAATTCCTGGTAACTCAAAGCAGACTAAGATTGTTTTTTGTTGTGCTGTCAAGCTCCTCTGAATTTCTCATCTAAGGCATCTGTTTAACAATAGAGCTGTGGAATTCCTTTTTTTCTTAAGTAGTCTTTGCTGATCGTATGCAGACTTGTCCTGCCAGTAGTGCCAGTTTAGTATAGTTGTATTTTAAGTTAGGCAACTTAAAGTTTTAAGCTCATCAGCTGTAACTCCTGAATTACTGAAATTTCCTTCTCCCAGGCCTGTGCAGCAGAACCTAAGAGGCATTAGGCTTATTGAGAGTAAAAGGAAGGAGATTATTTTTTCATTTCTAAATTCACATTGACATGATTTTGAAGTTGTAGCTCTCAGTTTTCTACACATCTATTTCCACAGAAAACTGTACCTCTGATAAACAAGCAAAGTGCTTTCTCTCCTGTATACACATTGCAAGCTGTCTGTGTAGACCTGCTTGTGCTAGCTGTAGTCTCACTAGTTCAGGTACCAGCAGTAACACATCTGTGGTGACATAGTCCTCGGTTGGAGGTGTGCAGGCTCATGTTGTTGTACGTTGAATGCTTACTCAAATTAATTGCCTGCATGCCCATGTTTATGTATTTTTACTGTTTTGTTATGTAAGGCGAACAAAATTCACTGTATTTGAGGTATGTCTAACATGCTGTTTCATATCTCCTAATTGCAGTGCAGATGCAGCCTGTAAGGCAGTGAGCCTTACTCTCTCATTCTGAGAGATGATTAGAAAGGTCTGCGCTGGCTTGATAGTTATAGGATGATTTTTTATCAGAGATATGCAGAAAGTGTTCAAGTGTTCAAGTGCAGTATATGCAAATTAAATACTAAAAAGCTAAAATTAGCAAGGGGAACATAAAAGTAATAAAAGGGAAGCCTTGATCCTGCAGTCCAAACCTTTGTGGAGTCCTGGTGAAATCAACTGATCAGGGCTTAAGTGTATTCTATGTGTAAACCCTCAATCCTGCAATCAGATCCTTAATGAAGGAATTCTTTCTTTTTTTGAATTCCTATTAAAAAAATCAACACATTAATCCTTGACTAAACAGAGCTGGCAATGTGTTTGGAAAAAAAACCCCAGATAAAAACAGATGTGGTGAGTAATACATTTGTCAGATACTGGACTGGTAAGGCAGTAGAAAGGTAAATATGCTTATAGGAAATGACTTCTCTATATAGCTCATTTCTAAAATCTCTCCGTAGGAAGCATGTTAAAAGATGGAGCCTGCTGTTTACATAATAGGGAGCAATTGTTAGCAGTGCACAGGAGTGGACAGCTTGTCAGGATATTGGCATTTGACACACTGCTCTTATTGTGAGGTAGGTCTGTAAATTCATTAAACTCAAGTTTCTTTCAGGTGTTTTAAGAATAGGAACAGTTAACATGGTTCAGATATACCAGTGCAGAAATTGAATGCCAACAGCAATTCAAAAGGCCATGTACACACTGTTCACTCAGGGTTTCTTATTTTTGTTGTACATTTTTGCAAAAGCTGCAGAAGAATTTCAGTGAAAGTGGGAGCACTGAGGATGCAAGTCAATTTGTTACTCCAAATCCTGTTTAGGAGCAAAATGCTAACTTATTTTAGATCTTTGACCTGTGCAAATTGTATTTATTTTCATTTTGATCCTCCTTTTGTATTTGAGGATTTTGGTTTCTGTCTTGCATAGTGCTTTTGTATTTTCAAAAGTAATGTAAGATTTTTGTGAAGAAGCTGGAATGCAAGAAGGTGGCATGTCAGTTTGAGTGGTGTAGCCATTCTGCCCAGACTTTGATGTAGTTATTGTTTGTATACAGTAAAGAGAGAGAGCTCAGTCTGGTCAATATTAGACTGGGCCTAAAGGACAGATGCCGTGGAGGGGAAAATTCTGTCTCTGTATTCCTACTGTTAACCCCCAGCAGGCTAGTTCAGTGAGCTAACTCAGAAGATTTTTCCTTGTAAGGAACCTGGTGGCAGCTAGCCATTAAATCAGTTTAGAAGTGGTGTGAAATTATAGCTTGGGGCTGTAGTGACATGTGTTTAATCTAGCAATGCCAGTTTAAACACAACCCCTAGATATCCGTTCTTTCTTTCTTTCTTTCTTTCTTTCTTTCTTTCTTTCTTTCTTTCTTTCTTTCTTTCTTTCTTTCTTTCTTTCTTTCTTTCTTTCTTTCTTTCTTTCTTTCTTTCTTTCTTTCTTTCTTTCTTTCTTTCTTTCTTTCTTTCTTTCTTTCTTTCTTTCTTTCTTTCTTTCTTTCTTTCTTTCTTTCTTTCTCTCTTTCTCTCTTTCTCTCTTTCTCTCTTTCTCTCTTTCTCTCTTTCTCTCTTTCTCTCTTTCTCTCTTTCTCTCTTTCTCTCTTTCTCTCTTTCTCTCTTTCTCTCTTTCTCTCTTTCTCTCTTTCTCTCTTTCTCTCTTTCTCTCTTTCTCTCTTTCTCTCTTTCTCTCTTTCTCTCTTTCTCTCTTTCTCTCTTTCTCTCTTTCTCTCTTTCTCTCTTTCTCTCTTTCTCTCTTTCTCTCTTTCTCTCTTTCTCTCTTTCTCTCTTTCTCTCTTTCTCTCTTTCTCTCTTTCTCTCTTTCTCTCTTTCTCTCTTTCTCTCTTTCTCTCTTTCTCTCTTTCTCTCTTTCTCTCTTTCTCTCTTTCTCTCTTTCTCTCTTTCTCTCTTTCTCTCTTTTTCTCTCTTCTCTTTTTCTCTTTCTCCTCATTTCTTTGTCTTCTTTCTTCTCTCTTGCTTTCTCTCTTTATCTCTCTTTTTTCTTTCTTTCAGTTTTCTTCCCCCCCCCCGCCCCCCTTTTTTAATCCTGCTGTAGGATACCTGTTAGAGTTTCTAATTCGTGCAAATCCACTTTGACACAGCTCAGGTGGGATTAACACCGTGGTGGGGACAGATGCAGGGGAGTTTTGAGAAGCTGGGGCTCCCTCCAACCCCAAAGTCCACCCCCAGGACTGCACTCCTGGGAAGCAGTTTTGACCATTGCATATTTTGCATCCAGTTGTGTTATTGGTGCACTTGCTTCTCCACGTGTATTTCCCCTTGTGGGCCACTTTAGTCGCTTCTTAAAAATGCCTGGCATTACTATCTGTTTTATTATTTAGGTTGTTTTTGAGGGGATGCTTTGGTAAATGCTGGAGGTACAGAAGCAGGTAATGCACTTTCCAGCTAGTACTGCAACTGCTGTGATTAAAAGACGGAACTATTATAAATTAAAAAAGCAAATTCGGTGCCTTGATTCTGCTGAGAGAGTAAGGAAGTAAGTGCCTGACTTACTCGAGAGTTTTGTACATCCCACTCTTTGCACCTGACCTGTAAATGTTTAAGCCAAACTATTCACATCAGGCTGCTGCTCTGCTGAAACAACCATTTAGCAAATGTATGTCTTCTGCCTCCACCCCCTGAGATATTGCTGTACATAGGTGAGCACTAAGCATGTGACTGTTGAAATACAGACATGGGAACTCCTTTCATGGCATACTTCAATGTGTATTTGCAAGCTACAAGTCATGATTTCTCAGTGCTAGTCACAGGGGACTTTGCTTTGAAACTTGAAGTGATTTTTTTCCCTGCTCTCTGAAAAAGGAGATACAGTTCTCCTTCATCAGAAATTATGTTTTGAAATAATACATTTACATGCAAGTGATCTGTTTTGATATTTAAGTAATACATGTTCTAAGCAACTAGTTTGCAAAGAAAAAATATTTTAGATCTAAATTTTAATCCAAATATTTT